GAGGCATGTATGTGACATAATTCAGTGAGAACTCTTTGCTTCACTCCACGCGATTTGGCTGGTTGGTCAGGTCTGTTCAACCTGCAGAGGTGCAGCGTGACAGTGATTTGATGTTCACAATTTCTGTTTTTTTTTTGTGGTTAGTCTGTTGGGTTCACTTGAGCATGGGACGGGTGTCCTTAAAAAAACGCGGCGTGCTAAGGTGTTTCCCGCAGGCTGCGTGATTGAGCTCTGCGGTGCTGCGGTGCTACGTGTTGCAGAGGAGAAACATGTGAGCGTTCTGGCAAATCTATTGGCTCCAAGTGTCCTGATGTCGTGTCTTATTGCCTACAGAATGTGGCAAGGTTTTACACATCACGCATGCACTAGAACGAGACCACAGCCGCGCAGCAGCTGACCCTGACAAACGCAGTTGTCCGCGGCAGTGCAACATGTTTGCTGATACAAGTGATGCAGTGCTAGCCCACCCGCACAGCCGAAAGTGATGTGTGTGTCCATCCCTCCTTCGCTCCTTCGCTCTTTTGCTCCCTTGCTCCTTCGCTCCTCCCTCCCTCCCTCCCTCCCTCCTTCTTTTCCTTCATCTCTACGTAACATGCATATGTGACATGAACACCTTAATGCCATTCACTCTCAACTTTCCTGGGTAGTACCCCCCGGGCATCTAGAACGACAATCATATCGCCCCTGCATGTTCCAACGACGCCTCCAACCTCGCCGTCTGTCCATCCAGCCACCATGTCCAGCCAACAAACAACCGCCGACGGCTACAACCGAAGAAGCGTCACTGAGCCCGGCGCCCGGCGAGGTTCCATACTCCAGACCATTCCCACCCCCAGAGCGAACTTCCACACGATACCAGAAGTCCAGCAAACCCTTTGTGGTACCTCGCGCAAGCGCAATGCCGCACCCGGTGTGGAGCCAACGCCCCTCAATCCGGCTCGCACATCCGGCATCGCCGCTCCACCGTTGCCAGCCATTCAGATCAAGGAGCTCCACTGCCACCTCACTCAAGTTCACCAGCTCAGCCACCCACTATTCAACTCAGAACCACTCCTCCGGCGGCCAAACCAAGACCCTTGGGCACATTACCAATCGATCTCCCACATTCCGTGTGGACAGCCACAGGCACCTGTCGGTGCACTCACCTGGATGCAACAGCAAATTGGCCAACAAACTTCCCAAGGCAACTGTCAGCAAACCGCTCAAACATGCTCAAACCGCACCGTGCGCTGGACAACTTCAAGTCTACCTTCACCCACGCTCAAGTTCAATGATGATCCGTGGCTGGCGCCCATCGAATCCAATCCTCAGTCATCGCAACGCCCGGCACCGCTGACTTATCAGCGTGGTTGCCGCCAAGCGCACGCCAGCGCATGGGGTCTTGCCGCAACAGATCCACCTCGGAAAACGTTCTTCCCACATTTGTTGGCCTTTTTCGATGGCCTCGGTGCGCTCCTGCTGCTTTGCGCGCGTGGGGGAGCTGCTGTTGTCGCAAGGATGAGAAGATCAGCGGTTGCAGAGATTCTCTGGCAGGTACCCCCACGCTCAGACCAGCCTAACGCACAATGAATGCAGCCGGATGGTTGCCTCCTTGATGCCAGGCAACCTTTTCTATGACCAGTGCACCACGAACTCCGCGCCAAGACTTGGTCAGTTGCCGGGGAAAAAGGTTCCACACATGTGCTGATATGTTCTTGTAGTTCTGGCCTCTCTATCTACTGGCCAGGCCCCCGTTTGTTCTGAGATGATCACTGTTCAGTTGTGTTGACCATTCTCCTGCTCGTGACGCTGCCATCACTACCACTTGTAACCTTCCAATTCTTGTTTGGCTTCCAGCAGCCCTTTGACAATCCGACTCCTACTCTGCCACCGATGGACCATTATTGGCAACGGCAGCAGCAGCAAGCGCACCAAGCAGCCGCGCCAGGCGACTACCCAACATTCAAGCCCCATGACCCACGTCATACGCACCGCAGCATCACATCCTTAGCAGTCACCACTCATCGAACACTCCCGCAGCCCCTGCCACGGCTCCCACTCCGGGCGCTACTTGTGACTTTCCACCACCTCCACCACCAGCAACGCCCACTACTGCTACTCCAAAACGACCAGCATTGGGATTCCAATTTGGTCGCCAACCGACGAATTTTCAAACCGATCCAGCCCACACCGTGAATGCGAAAACCAGGCATTGCGGGATTGAGGTCTTCCCATGGCTCCTGGCGTGTCGCAGTACGTCAGATTACGCAGCCAGAGCATCAAGCATCGTCCCTATACCCGCTCACTTGCTGAATCCGTATTTGTCAACTTGGATCTTGATGCCATCGCCGATGCCATGCTCCGCGCAGCTGGACGACCTTTCCTCCCAAGACCGCCGACGCCCGTGCCTTTTTGCAACATTTTGCAACCATTTACCACCCTTGTCACCAAAGCACTCCAAAAACGTGCGCCTGCACCAGCGAAGGAAGCGCGATCCGTCAGCTCCACACCAAAGAAGAGGAACTTCAACGGGCTCACGCCAAATTCCAAGCCCATGGCGTCGCACTGTCACCAGCCAAATCTACATCACGCCGCAGCTCCACCTTGCCCTGTCGTCCCTCAGCACCTTCCACAAGTCCAGCAGCGCCAACTCCTGTTATACACCAACCCCTACCACCATCGACCAAGTCCTGCAACCTACACATCCAGCTCTGAAAGACGACACCAAATTATGATCTTCCCACTCTTGTCCACCAAGCCACCTTCATTGACCGCGCTGAAACGATTTTGAGTCTCGGTCTTTTTCCCGAATGCATTGCGAAGGGTTCTTCCGGAAAATCCCTTGAACACTGACACTTCGACACTTACACTTACACACTGACACTTCCACCACATTTGCACTACATACACTGACACTTCGACACTTACACTTACACACTGACACTTCCACCACAGTGTAAGGGGAAGAGCGAAAGCATCCAAGTGCAAAGTATGCAAGTGTCAAAGTATGCAAGTGTAAGTATGCAAGTGATGGGTATGCAAGCACGCAGTGTAAATATGCAAGTGATGGGTATGCAAGCACGCAGTGTAAGTATGCAAGTGATGGGTACGCAAGCATGCAATGAGCATGCAAGCATGCAATGAGTAGGCAAGTGTGAGTATGGAAAACTAGCACCGGAGATGTCCTAATGAAAAAACATTTCCGCACTTTATAAATTCCCTCTTAAAGGCGGAGGGCGGGACGAACAGCGTCAACCGAAAGTGCAACCCTCTGCGGAGATCGTGCGTGTTGAGTGCGCGAAATACAGGCGAGAGTGCGATTCGCCGGGTGCCCGCGCAACCCTCTGCGGAGACCGGCTGCGCGCGCAACCCTCTGCGGCGCGAAATGCAGGCGAGAGTGCGATTTGTCCGGTCCGCGCGCAACCCTCTGCGGAGATCGTGCGTGTCGAGTGCGCGAAATGCAGGCGAGAGCGCGATGTGTGAAATTACCGCGCAACCCTCTGCGGAGATCGTGCGTGTCGAGTGCGCGAAATGCAGGCGAGAGCGCGATCTGTGAGATGACCGCACAACCCTCTGCCGAGATCGTGCGTGTCGAGTGCGCGAAATGCAGGCGAGAGCGCGATCTGTGAGATGAGCACGCGATCCTTTGCGGAGATCGTGCGTGTCGAGTGCGCGAAATGCAGGCCAGAGCGCGATCGGTCTAGCAGGGGAGCAAGCTGTGGAGCTGGAAGCTGAGAACTGGTGACTTGGTAGTACAACTTTAGTACGCGGAGTAGCTGGGGAGTGGGAAGATGAGAGCTGGCGAGTGGGTAGTACAACTTGAGTACGCGGAGTGTCTGGGGAGCTGGAAGATGAGCACTGGCGACTTTGTAGTACAACTGTAGTAC